CAAGAATTCATAGAAATCATCAAAAGAACCAATAGATCGACAGCACTGTAAAAAAAATAGGTGTTCTACCGAACTTTGAAGGTTTGGTACTATTTTACGAAACGATTTTAAGTTCCGTGGCATCAAAATAGTTTCGGAACTTTCATACAGAACCTTCGTATCATTTATGAAGCAGTGAATAATTTCGTATGATCTACGCTGAACTATTTTCTGTTTTACGAAACTAATGAGAGTTTCGTTTAACAAGGAAAGGTTCCGTGTATCTTATACAAATCTATGGAAAATTTCGCGAAGCATCCAAAGGTTCAGCATGCGTTACACGAAACCATTTCTGCTCTCGTAAATGATATAATAGTTCAGTATATCTTTTGCAAAACCATGGCTAGTTTCGTGGAATATATTCGGAACGATTAGAGCTTTTAAACAACTATGAATGGTTTCGTAGAGCATATCCGGAACTTTTAGATGCTATATGAAACTGGAAAACGTTTCGTAGTATGTCTGCTAAATCTTCAGACAACTGGACGAAACCCTTCATGGTTCCGCAAAAGATATCCAAAACCAACTTATGGCTTTCGAAGTAATTAATAGTTTCGTAAAGTGGATGCGAAACCTTTGCAACCCTTATAGAGGCATGTATGGTTTCGTAACAATTATACGGAACCATCAATTGTATTATATAGTTCACATAAATCATATATCTGGCTTTCGAAACTATCTATACTTTTGAAGTATGCATACCAAACCTCAAAATAAGTAGTGAAACTCCTAGGGTGTGGGTGTGGGCGTATATGAAAGAAGAACACCCACCCACCCACCCACACCCACACCCTCAAGCTATATGTTTTATGACAGTATTGAAAAATCATTAAAAGCAATCTTACAACTCAATCATTTCAACTTGAAAGTGGTCGAGAAACACATCGATATGTCAATATTTCTAATTTAACTCCAAGATTAATGTTCTGTGGAAAAGATATGTCAGGAAATTTTCACAAAAATATCTACTTATTTCGTACAAAGTTTTGTTTACTCAATCACTGGAATTTTATGTAGTGTTAAGAAATACTTTACATCACATATAGTAATGAAAATAGAAAAAATAAAAATAGAATGACTAATGTTATTAAACAATACCTTTTTTTTATTTTATAAAGACTTTACGAATCAAAGTTTCTATAGTCCATTCCAGTTCCAGCAGCAGAAGCTGTGGGCGCAGGATGAAGAATTAAAATAATGAAAAAAAAAACAACATCCTAGAGCTCCTGAAGTTCTATGTTCAAGAGCTCTGATTGCACAATATGTCAGAACTCATGAGACCCCCGGCACGCCATTTCACTACACTTTTGAGTAAAACACATGACTATATGAATTTATCTCTAGTCGAATCCTAGTTTTTCTCTCGGCAAAATCAGGATATCAACGCTACCCGAAAAAATCCTGGTCTGTATTTGAATTCTAGTTTTGACCAGGCAAGATTAGCATTAAAATTTTGCTGTAAACATATATTTATCTATTCGATCTAGTCCAGTCATTTCATTTTATACAAATGCAAATAGCGTTAATCTCATCATGTAAAATCATATGTTTACAAGGAAAAAATGTTAATAAACTCCTACGATTTATTTTCTATCGTAATAACAAAGCGAATATAGTACTTGATATTGCTCGATAGAGATATTGTATTGATTCATCTAATTTTAACCTATTTTAATTGTTTATATAGATAAATTTTTAGCAGCTATAAAATTTACTTTTCGTCTTCAATGTAAAATAGTTTCATTCAATACTTTGTTCAACTGTTGAGAGTGAACTAAACACACGCAAACCTTGTATTTAATCATTTGCAAAATTTTCGTTTTTCGTTTTTCTTCTTATCAAGATATAAAAATTAATCAAATGAGAATTACACAATCTGATAGAGCTCAATCAATATTCTACAAAGTTAATTTTTCTGAGAAATCCTTCGTAGAGATAAATAAATTTTGATATAATTCTATTCTCATCTACTGCGGTATACATCAAAAAACTTAATCGCCAGACAATCTAAAAAAAGATAACGACTTTTTGATCCAACTAAGCATAAAGCAAAAAAAAATGTCATTATTAATTTGTGAAGTGATAAAAAAAAAAGAAATTGTAATATGGATACATATTAATAAGTTTTTTTTCAAACTGTAAACGTTGATTCTATCACTCTCTACATAAATCTTGATGTTATAATAGACGTTTTAACGAAAAAAAATTTGTGTAACATTTTGCTACTTCATTAAATATTTTTAGAACAGCGATCAGAATAATAATTCAACACCGATTAGGATGTGAGTCTTCATGTTCTATTCCACGAACTACATATACACGCACCCTCATTCTCACCGAATCATTGTTTATATCAACGAAATAGTATACAAAACAATCACAATATGTTAATTTCATCGGAATACCGTCTATCATGTGTCAAATTAGATAAAAAGAATATTTTCAATAATATGATATTCTCTGCAACAGTGTACAACTGAACTGAACTAATTGTTATAATTAGAGGTATTCTAAATATAGAAATATCTTTTCATATGAAATAAAAATGTTATCTTGGCTTTTTTTTTTATCTAACTTCATAAAAAATGCATCACCTTACAAAAAGTTGAGTCTCTTAAAAACGAAGATTAATTCCTATTTGATACGCCAAGGAACACGAAAAAAAGAAACGAAAAATACTATACTGGTTTGTTAGTAAACAAGGAATTTTTTCATTTAAATCAGAACGGAACTTTTAATATTCCTACCTTTTTTTTTAATTGGTGGATTTGGTACACTAAAATTCCAAATAAAAAAGAATAGGTCATCAAGTATTATTGTGTCTATGATAAAGTGTTACATAGGCATTGGTGGTGGTGGTGGTGATGGTCTTGGTCCTGGCGATGGTGATGGCTAAAAGAAAAAACAGAATCATGCGCATTGATAAATATGTCATCAATTCCAATCATTACTTTTGGTACCAGTTCAATTAGAGGATATTGTGGTTGAATTTCTTTAAGTTGTACCATATAAAGATCTTTGCCTTGACTGAGGCATGCCACAACTTTAAATTGTCTTGCAGCTGGAAGAAGAATTTCATCTTCAGCTTGAAAAAAAGAATATTTTGCAATATCTTTGCCACTATCACATTCGATTGTAAACAGAGTTCTTGGACCTGTCGTACCCAAAAATTGTTCATTTTGGAGTACACTGAGTTTGGATGTACAAGAGCTGAATCCCCACCAAACGAATGTTTTTCCTTCGGGATATCCTTTTCTCATATCTTGTTTGACACCACGATAAACAAATGAAAGGCTGGATGGAATTTGAGCCAGCGCAGTAAGAATTAATTTGAGAAAAAGAAACCAAGGTTTCAATTTTTGGCGCTTTTCATTTCGCAAAGTTTCATTTAAAACATGATAAAGACATTCCTCTTGAGGCTCCCATTCCATTGAGTAGAGAGTAATTGAGGCTGCTTCATCCATGGACAGTTTTCCGGGTGAAAGCTCTGCACATTTCATTTTCGCAAAGTAGGCTCTTCGCCGTACATCAGGTACATATTCAGCAATGGGTTCTACAGCCTCTTCTAGTGTAACAAGAGGCTTTTTCTCATAGCCTTCTATAGGCATCAACATTCGACAAGGTTCCCCCACTAAATCCGAAAAACGTTTCGTAGGGTTTTGTTCATCGATATCGACAAATTTTGCAGCCATTAGTATTTTTAAACTTATTATTTAAAATTGCGAATAAATTGATCGATAGAATTTTTCGATTGAAAACTAAGAAAAAAAGCGAATGATATTAGCTTTTCCCTCATAATCAGAAATGCAAAAATCTATGGCTTTGTTGAGTTCAACACCCACACCCACACCCACCTCAAAAATTTACTCACCACAGTGAAATATTGGAAATCTAAATGTCCTTGAAAGTTGCAATGTATTATTGAAAATAAAAATTTCGGTTACTTCTGTCGTGCACTTATTTTTTTTTCAAATGGTTTGCTTCTTATATTTTGCAATCTGACAGCACTTTTTATTCTGTTTTTTTTGCCTTTTTTTTCTCCAAGTTGCTTTCAAATATGAGTGCTAGGAAGAAGGATTAAAACATAGCAACAATGTAAATATTTACCTTTGAGTAGACGAAAAATGATGACAAAGAAAGAATTCATTTTTTTGAACAAACTTTGTCCTTGTTTCTTTTTCTTTATTAAATCGAAATAACAAACAACAAAATTTTATCATTTTTTCCTTTTCCTATGCAACAAAACATTTGCTTCTGATCACCAAAAGAAAAACAAAACTGAACACCGTAGGTGACTAGAAAGAAAGAAAACAAAAGCAGTTTGGAACTAATAAATGCAGAATATTCATTTTCATTTGTGTTTTTTTGTATCTTGGATAGTTTTTCTTTGCCCCCAAAGGATAAATCGTTTAAACCAAAACTGATAAATCGTCCAAAGAACCAATGCAATAGCAATTGTAGTCCAAACAAGAACAATATGAAATGGTAATGGTTTTGTAACAGTTTGCCAATCAAATTTAAGTACAATTAACACTTCTGTTATTATAATAGCTGTTATAACCCATGATTGACGACCAAATCGTTTACATGCTCGATTATCTAAATATTCGAACATTTCACGCATGGAAACACCGCCAGCAAGTAAGAAAAATAATAATCGTGAGAGACAAAGAAAATGTGGTGGTGGAATCCAGAGAATAAATTTTAAATAGAATGTTCCCAATTCGACAAGAAATAAGAAACATGTTATTAATAACAGTGCAAGCCATCGTTTTAATGATGCTGTTGGACGCCAATCAAATTCAAGCCAATCATGAGGTGTAAATTGGCCAAATACACGCATCATTTTACCTCTTTTAAAATTAATTTCGTTTTATATTTAACGTAACATGAGTTTTAGTTTTTACCTAACAGTTGGAATAGTCCACATTCCACGCCAATTGTATGGTTTCATTTTTAAATATTCGCATGTTTTCATACCCAAATATATTCCACCACCGTTGCATATAAGTGCATCAAGAATCCACTAAAACAACACTTAAATCACATAGGCATAAATATGATTTTTAATGACTTACATGATCCCACCAACATTCACTAAAATTTGGTAATTGATGTTCGAGAGAATATTCGAGAATTTCAAAACCAATGGACGTGACCATACAAAGCCAATAATCACGAACAATTAATGTCTAAATATAAGAGTGTTATTTAAATAATAAATCATCAGAAAAAAGAATCGAAAACGCTTTACTTTTAACCACCAGCCAAAAAAATGCGATAGAACAAAAAAATCCATTTTATCCTATTGACAAAAAAAAAGAAAAAAATATAACTATTAAAAAAAACGTATTTTAAGGTTTTGTTTTTACTTTAAAATAATGAAATGGATCTTCTGGATGTTCCCAATCATAAATACGACACGATCCACCATAATCTTTATCGGGTAATGGTATACCTAATGTTGGATCGATATTTTTTAATAATTGTCTTGCATCATCAACCGTCTAAATATATAATTTAATTCGTGGAAATATATTTTACATGTTTCTACATACTTGAAAGAGAATATAGATCAGTATAATTTCATAGAGTACACTGAAGCAAAGTACAAGACGCCAGAGAGCTAAAATAAAGTAATTCAATTTAATAACAAGAGTTTTTTTTCTTCTAGAGATGAACAAACGCATTTACCAGGATGAGGTCGAACAAAAACACCGTCAGGTGTTTGGGTCATACCAAAGACCAGAAAAAATCCAGCACATGCTAAGAGACCTCTAAAAGTAGAAAAAAAAATGATCAGTCTTCATGAACAACGTTAATATGCTTGTATTCTCTAAAAATCCTCTTTACCGTTTTGTATTGTAACTAGAATCTTCTGATGGCTGTTCCAGAATAGCAACATAGAATAAATATGACATAGCTATAACTAAACATGTTATAGTATGTGCACGCCAGAAAAAACTCATTGTTCCATCGTCAAAAGGTTTCGAACGTCTTTTATCACTTTCCCAATCGTAGGCTGTTGGTGTTGTAGCTGATGTTTCGTTAGCTTTACTACGTTCATTTGATGGTGAGGACATACTTCGTTGAATAGTCTGATTCTCAACATTGTTGTTAGTCATTCTAATGAATGAATGACAAACAGTCGTTATAAATCTAAAAATAAATATTTCAATAAGCTACTCAACTATAAATGATATTGCGCCGATTAAAATTTGTGTGATTAAGGGAGAAGTGAAAAAAAAATAATGAAAAAGCACCGGACTATCTATAAAGCAATAATTATAAGTGTATAGAATAGTTCATTCAAAGGATAACACAATTATTTTGATAAGCAGATTTTATTGGTTGTTGAACATATTTTTGAAATGATGTTCGTGTATCAATTTTTCCTACTTGAAGCCTAGCTTTTTCTAAGCGCTGAAGAAGACGAAGAAGAAGAAGATCATCGCCGAGTGAAAATCCAACAGCAACAACATTTATTTGTTGATGATCAGGATTATAATAATCGAGTGTTAATGTAGCACGTGGTGTACCACATACAGCTGTACTAGCAAATATATCTCGATTATCCATTGTTAATAAACAGTCAATTGAATATTTTGATTTAAGATATTCAATAAATGATTGAAATCCTTCTTCGACTGTTTGTCTATATTTATCATAGGCTTCTTGTGTTAGTTTCGATTCTAAAGCTTGTGTAAATAATAATTGTCCATAAGGAATATATTGTGAATGGGATGAATTCCATTCAACAATAGATGAGAGAGTTTCATGAGAATAAGACGATGAATGAGCTGATAAATATCGTGGAATATCACGTCCTAGTGCATAACAAAGATAATCTTGAAAGGTTACATTACATGTACGTGTTGGATCTAGTATAGGTATAATGAGTTGAGCAAGAACTGGATCTTTATTTAAATCAACTAATGTTGTTAATGGTAACAGTGGAGAAAGACTTTGAAGTATGACGAGATCTTCTTGTGATTGAACTGAAATACATAAAATACATTGTTGTGATAAAAGCTTCAGCTTTTTCAAGTGTAAAACAAGAACAAGTATCAACGTTATCAGACAAGCTTCTATGCTCGTATGATACACGCATGATAACTGTGTCAATAGATAGATAGTATTTTGCCAGAATAAAGTTTGCATATTAAATTCAAGGTCATTATTATGAATTTTGGTGGTTTATATTTATACAGCTCATGACTTCATAAAATAACAGAAAGTTCTTTCGAACCAAGATGATTAATTTGTTTTTTCACTTACTAATATAACCAACTCTAATTGATCGACTATGATTATCATCTTTAATATCCGTAGCAATTCGATGTAATAATTCAATGTCCTCGATAGTACGTGCCAACGGGCCACAGGTATCTTGATCATAATTTATAGGTATAATATTATCTTTTGGCCATGCATTCACTGATGGTTTGAGAGCACAAACATGTTTTGTGTGTATGGCTGGTGATAATATTGATCCTTGAGTTTCTGTTCCTAATGAAAATGTAAAAAAATTTAATTTAATACCAGCTGCTGAGCCACTTGAGGAACCACTAACATCTTCATGTATATCATCTGGATGAAGACATTGACCTCCTACAGCTGAGAAACCCGATGGAATATTTTCCGACAATGCATAAGCCCATTCAGATAAGTTAGCCCGACCAAGTATCACACAGCCTGAATAATTAAATTTATTCATGTTGGATTAAAATTAATTCTCGTATGATGATATTTATACCTTGTTGTCGCAGTTTTTTAATAATTGATGCATCATCTTTCATTTTATTTTCATGAAGAACATAAGAACCAGCATCATTGTACATATCACGTACACTAATATTACCTTTGACAGCAGCGACACAACCAAATAATAATTTATCGTTGACTTTATTTTCGTTTATCTGTTCATCAATTTGTTGAGCTTCCGAAAGTAAATGTGGATTAAGTTCAATAATAACTTTATAATAATTATTTGTCATTTGTATGCGTTTTAAATAATACAAACATAGATCCTTGCAGGTAATATGTTTATTTAGAATTAAACTTTTCACTCGATCAATTGAATGATCTGATTTAAGTAGAGCTTCAATGCGTTTGTATGTTGTCGGTGTATAATTTGCTAGAGAATCAAGAAATGGTGAAAAATCCAACGGTATTTCATGTACAAAATGATTCACAGTTGATGTCAAACAAAATTCTCCATGACATTGACGATAGCATGCTGTTTCTAAACCACCAGTTTCATTTTCTACAGTTGAGCTCTCTTTTTCTTTCTCAATATCTTTGGACATATCTATAAATAAAAAAAAGAGAAAGTATTATTATTGTTTCAATAGAATACTAAATTATTTTATGCTAGAGTCAGATATAACAACAGAACATGTGAGGAGTATCAACTCAGTTATCATTATGTCTGATATTTATGCTTAGTCAACTTTGAAGATACGTGTAAACGAATCATTTTGCCTCTTTTTTTTAGAGGCCTAACCAAGATTTAATGAGTAGACAAAGTATAACATTCTCTATTTATGATTAATTTGTTCGGAGATTTTCCTATTGTGAGATACGAATACTTGTTGAACGAATTTTGTTCTATGTTCAATTAAAACTAACTCAAACATTTATAGTAATTCTCGTCTATTATTGATTCTCATAGAAGATCTCAGTAAAAAACGAAAAACAAGCGAGAAAATTATTTCTTTTTTTTTCTTTCTGTAAAATATCTTTTCGTTTAACTACATATAAATATCAAAAACACAAAAAGAGAAAAAAAATAAATGAAGAATCAATCGTTCATTCATGTTTATCCGAGCGAAGTGTTTCTTTTGTTTTTCTTTTTCACTGTAAATAGAGATAAAGAGGTGTACAAAAACGAAAATAGGAGAAAGATCCTTGTGACAAGCGATAGCAAGTTTACAGAACAGAGAATAAATAAGAAACAACAACAACAACAACAACAAGAAAAAAACAAAAGTACATGTACATAATGAAATTACAAAGTATTGTTTAGTAAATAAAGTGTCACGACATGTAAAACCATGTGAAACACGCAGAAAAAGAAGGAAAAAAAACACAAATGATATGATTTAAGTTCGATTTATCGACGTACAATAAAATCAATCAAACCATTTGAATATATTTATAGATTTCTTTCATTTCTTGATTAAAAATCATTTACTAAGTGCTCTAACAAGAAGTGTTGTTCGTTTAAGATATTTATCTCGTTCCATGATACTTAACAAATCGCGAAGATTGGCACGGCATATACGTTTAGCAGTTTTCTAGAAAAAAAAAATGTTTAAATGTATTCTTATTGTTTTTGTTTATGATCAGTGAAAATATACCATTTTTGGATGAGTATTCGTCGAATTTGCAACACCTGATGATGATGGTGATGGTTGAATGGGAGATATTTGCTCGGGTCCATTCGAAGCTGTTGTGGTTGGATGAGGATGATTAGTACTTTCTTCGAGTTTACGTTTTTTCGGCTTTCCAATAGCAGCTAATGCTGTCTCGTTAGCTTCTTTTTGGCGTTGTTCTTCGAATTGCGCTTGTTGCATCTATTGTAATGAAATAGAAGATTGTTTTTCTATATGTGCCTGTTTCCGGGAAAAAAATCAAGAATCTATACTTCTTTAGCTTTTTGTTTTAATTTTACTGCTTCTGGATCATTTGTTTTCGAACGACTCTAGAAAAAGACAACAGAAATTAAAATAGAATAAAAACTTTAAAATTAAAATTTTTCACTTTAGCAGCTCGAAAGATTTTTTCTTGTTCTAATTTATCTTTTTTTTGTTTTTCAATTTTATCTAAATCTTCAAGGAATCTTATTTGTCCTTTAACATCATTTGTTTGTTGATATGATGGATCATTCTAAAATTTTAAACTAGATAAATAATATTTAGAAATCAATTCCTACCTTCATAGATATATCGATGCGGTGTTGTGCAACTAATTTAACTTGTTCTAAGAGATATTTCAATCTCTCCTGTGCAGCATTGGATATAAGTGCATAGGCAGCATCATCATGAATTACCATACCGGTTAATCGTTTATCTTTGTCAGCTAGAAAATATATGAAAGAGATTTCGTTTATTGAAATATCGAAATCATGTTGAGTTAAAACTTTTGTTTTATCTTAGTCGAAAAGGAAATTTCACCTCGAAAACTATAGATTAAGAAAACAATATCGTACTTCCTCTACCTAGTTCATGTAAACGTCGACGTAGAGTAGCTGAAGATAATAATCGATCGTCGTGTGTTAAATGGCGTGTATCCATAATGCTAGAATTATTATCATCTGATGTATCGTCTTCAGTTCTATATAGAATACAAAAGTCTATTTTGTCTTAATTCTATTTTGATCAAACAAACTTAATAATCATTTTTTGCTGCATCGAGGATATTGTTGTTAAAGGTGATGGTTGAGTATGAATTGTTTCAGTTTTAATTGGCTGATGATTCACCGTTATAATTTGTGGTTGTTGAAGTGTTGCTGTCGACGATATAAATGATCGTTGTGAATGTGAATCTTGTTGTTGTTGTTGTTGTTGTTGTTGTTGAAGTATCATTTGTGTTACTGATTGAACTTGTTGTTGTCCGCTAAGAAGACTTGAATTTGATGTTGAAGATAGGGATGTGAGTAATGGACGAAGACCAGTAATACTCTAAAATTATTTGATTCATTGAGATTTGCAAGAAAAAAGTTTACAGAAATATAACAAACAATTTGTGTTCGTGCTTGCTGTTGAAGTTGTTGTTGTTGACTGAGTAATGATGCTGTAGAACCAATTAATGTTTGTTGAGGAGTTTGCTGAAGAATATTAATTTTTTGTTGAGGTTGTACTGTTGTATATAATGGTTGTTGTAAAATAGGTGCTGAATGTTGTTGTTGATGATTTAATAATGATTGATTTACAACGTTTACATTTGTTATCTGTGTCGTATTATTATTATTATTATTGTTATTACTTGTTGGCAATTGAAGTTTTTCTAATAATTCAATAGTAATTGGACGACCAAATGTATTTTTAACGATTTGACGCATATGTGGCAATGCTAACTTTAATGACACAAAATGAATTTATGAATACCAAAATTTAAATGTAAATAAAAAAATTTCATAACATTTCAATAAAAGACTAAAAGCTTGATTATAAGTGAATTACTTCAGAGTTAGGGCCTTTTTTTTTACATTCGAAAGCAGTTCATGACAGATGGAATACGTTATATGTGCTCAGTAATCAGTTTCATATCGTAATCAACAAGGAGCAGCAAATCTCAAATCAAACGTGAAGTACTTATTTTGTTGATACGACGAGTAGATTTGTGGGGAAACCGAACTCCGGTTATTGTTAGTCAATAAATAACAAAGAAGCAGAAGTAAGCCAAAAAAACAGAGAATCTCTAGGATGTTTATGGTAGACAACTAACATGTCCGTCGAAAATTATCAAAAATATGAATTTTCATTTCTTTTTTTTCCAATAGTAGAAATCTGTCTGTCTCATTCGATATGTCATGTTGGAATATAAATGAAAGAATCAAATAATTTAACTCAGTCGATTCATTTACTTCTGTGACATTTGGATCACGAGTCGAGTTGTATAATATGTAATGTTTATTCATTTTTCGACGATATTCTAACAGAAACCTGTTACCCAGCAGTAATCAAACTTTACTATAAATATACCTTTACATGCAAAATACGACGGTGAATGCCTAGTAGTACTGAGTCATGACTTCATTTTCTATAATCGACAGATGTCTCAAGCATGCAATTGGAGAAAAAATTAATTTTCGACGCATTTTATCGAAAAACAAACAAAAACAACTCTCGATTTGTAAATATACAATCGATCACAAAAATAAATTATAAAGCCCCAGAATGAATTAGCAGGCTAGCATTTTGTAATAATAACCCAAAACAAATAAATTAAATCGTATAATAAGTTTTCATTACCTCAATATGCGCTAAATATTCCTGAAATATGTCACCAAACAATGCTGCCACATTCAAACTCAAAATAGTTATAAACTCATCCTAAACCTTTTCTCCTGTTTTTTGGTTCTACACTTATCAAAAAGAAATAAAGAAAATTACTTTAAAAAATGGAACAAGTGATATATGTGGTTGTGATTTATAGAGTGTATGAAGTCGTTGGGTAAATGATTCTGGATCAATCGAACCATCCTATATTTAAAAGAAAATATTATTATCCTTTCTTTTCTTCTAAAGAATTCCTTTCATACCAAAAGTTCTTGAATACAAGATCGTACCATGGGTAATTTTTCTGGTGCTTGCTTTTCTGCTAATCGAAGTAGCGTAGTTAGAAATGTTCGACATTTAGATACAAAATCATTTATTTGAGATTCTGTATATTGTGTTGTCTGTTGTGCTGTGACTGTTTGACGAACAACCGGTTGTGTAATAACTTTAGTCGGTATTAAAGACGAGTGTGATTGCATTCCACTGATTGTTATAGGTTCTTTAAAAGTAAAACAAATAAGATTATGAGACGCTAATTAGATAGTTTTGTGGAGAAATCAGTAAGATTTGGAGTTTTGTATTTTCATCGACAGCTAATATTCTCAAAGGTGTTGTTGAAATCTTTTTTTTTAAAATCGTATGCTACGAAGTTCATCAATGTAAAAACACATGTTTGCTTATTCAATTGATGTGATACTCATGGATAGATTTTCAAAACCTCCTTTATACTATTAGACACGTTAAGAATCTACTGAATCTTGTTAAGGTGTGTAAACTTTGATTAATCAATGAGTAACTTTTCTTCTAATATACGAGTAAAAAAAGAAATTCGACATTGTCGCTGTTCTAATAGAGGGAGATATTCTCTTCAACTAGTAAAAATCGTTTTTATAAGAAAAAAATTTTATTTTACCATTTTTGACAGTCGTATATTGAACAGTAGCTTGCTGATGAGTTTGTTTTTGTAATGTAAATTGTTGTTGTTGTTGAGATGTTTGTGATATATTATTAGTCCAAATCGTTTGAGGTACATATTGTCCCTGACTTATTGTATGTGGATGTTGCTGCATATTTTGTGGTTGATTAACCCGAACAATACTTGTTGGTGTTGTCATTAATCCACTAGTCATTGGCTGTTGAAGTATCGTTCCATTTTGTAGACTTGTTTGACGCATATTTTGATTGTTACTTCCCATATTATTAAGATTAACATTATTGTTGATTGATTGAGTAAATAATAATGTAGTCTTGAAAGAAAAAATATTTCGGATTTACACTTCCTTAATCTACTTACAGGTGAGGGTAAGACTTGAAGTTTGCCAGTATTAGTAGTAAATGGTGATGGAGATGAAGTCATTATGGGATAAAATTAATCTGAAATAAACAATACAATTTAAAAAAGAAAAAGAATATGCATATATACACTTAATAAACATTTGAAATATGGTCTACTTCATTCGATGAATAACCGATGTTGTGTAAAAACAAGCATTTAATGGCGACAATGAAAAAATCTTGATGGCCAATCGATAAACTTGAACAGATGACGCTAGGTGATAGATAGTTGTCAATCACAGTCTATATTCTCACAGTCAATGAAAAATGCTAACACATTTGAGATAAAGATGTACAGGAATTTTTGACGACAATTTTATAACGATTGAACTTCATTAGTAGTTTCTAATGTTATCGATTGGATTTATTTTGTCATGTTAGAAATTTTTCATTTAAATAATTTAGTTCCTCGTGCAATTCTACATGTAATGTATTAAAGTTAGCCTAAGAGCACTTCCTTGTGTTGTGGTTTCTGAAGAACGGCTTGCGAAAGAATTGTGAAATGTTAAGGGTAGTTTCTATAGAAACTTCGTCGGTTTTATAGAAATCCACATAGAAGCTGATCGAATGTCTATCGGAATCATTCTTCCGGACACTCTGATAGTGTCATAGATGGAAGAGGAGAAGGTATAAGAATAGCAATGGATGATAGTAGAGGAAGAATTGATCTCAAAAGTTAAGAAGAAGCGATGAAAGTATGCTTTCACGTGGCTATAGAAATCAAGGGGGAAACAGTTGATTTAAATCAACCCTAAATCAGTTAAAAATCATCATAAATCAATCGATTTTGAAAGAGTTACAATTAGCTTCAATGATTTTTAGTCACTATTTGTCATTGTCTTTGATTGTTAATGATTTTCACCCATGCCCGGAGAGTTTTACTTTTTTGAAACTCACTCTAAATCAAATAAAATCACGAAAATCACGCAAAATCCGAAATCGCTGTTTCCCCCTTGATAGAAATGCAAGCAAAACATGAAAGTTTTATGAATCTATCTTCATGAAACCAGCTACTTCTATAGATTTCGTACTAATTTCTACTTATCTGAATAAAATACATTTGCTCACGAAAAAATAGTACAAGAAGAAATGTTTCGTGTATTTTTTTGAAGAATACATATTTTCAAGTACAATTTTATATAGCGATAGCATCTATAGAAAAAATATTAAAATGAACTTTCACAAAGATAATCATTCCTAAACTGATCTATTCTAAATAAGACTCATTTCTGTTAAAGAAATCAGCAGTGTGTTAATTCACTATTAGTCTCGTTCTTATATCTATATTCTCGATAAAGGAAATATTTTCAGAGAAAGTAACGATTTTTATATAGTAGATGATTAGGTAAAAGGATACAAAGTTTGCCTATCCTCAACTGGTTTCTATTGTTCTTTTTCAATCGATAGCAATTAGTGAAGAATCTCGAGATATGTTTTTATATGTTGTAGCTGATGAATCATCGTTGCGTACATTTACTTGGTATGTTTCTTCTAATAAAATCACATATTTATGCTTCTTAAATTACCCTAGTCGAACTTTTTTTTTCAAGCGCTCGACAAGACTTGAACTCAAGATGTGTCCATAGTGCAGGACCATCTTGCCCAAGACGTTCAAGAAGATCATGCGCATGTGCACAAAAAAATTATAAAAATTCTTGGTATAGGTAACAACGTTTTTTCTTCAAACAATGCTCATTTATAGAAGAAAAATGTTCGATTTGGATGCATTTTTTTACAAAAATTTCTCTTATTATCCGCATGTCAAGAAATATTTCAAGATGTGTCCATAGCGCATGACTTTCTTGCTCAAGATCATCAAGTATGTCATGCGCATCCCAAAAAATGTTTGACTAGGGATTGCATTGATAAAAATGAAGAAATGGTAGTTTTAAATAGTATTTTATCTTTCCCATAAAAAAAGATCTGATAAGATAAACAAATCAAAATATAAAAATCGATTAATTACTGTAGAAATGAATTAACGATGTTTGAATAAATTTATCGTTAAGTGCCTTTACTGGTAATTGTTGATGAATTCGAATACCATATTGATAATCATTCAATTTAGAACACGCTTTTAAAGCTAAACTAAATGTCATATTGTTGCATATTGATAACTGACGATCAAAAAACTCCAGAGCTCGTTTATATTGTTGAGAATCAATTAATTTCTTCATCTTTAAATTTATTTCATTTGATGATGATAAGACAGAAAAGCATTTGTATTGTGTTGGGTTAATTTTCCAAATAGATTGAATCAGATATCGAGATATAGAATTCAACATCTTCTTTAAAGATCAAAAATAGATAAAAATGAAAATCTTTGGATGTTCACTCAAATATGGCGCGAACTCTTACTTGATAGTACGCTGTCTGATGAAAAAAAAACGTGCGGATCAAAGCAGTTGGCTACATTTTTTTTGCTAGTGTGATGAAACTCAAAATGATTTGATGAAACTTTCACAGAAATTCAAGTTAATTTTTCTAACTTTAAAAACCTTTGATTTTCTTTCTGATAAGAGACCGTTCCATAGATGTAAGTAAAAATGTGTTCTAGATGGCGCTAGTTTTGAAGATATTTCGAAAACCGTTTAACATCAAAAAATAATTCTGTTTTTGTTAGAATCAGAAAAAATAGATTGATTTTTCAAGAAACTTTCACTCAATCATTTTGGGTTTCATTGAACTCCAAAATGTCGCCCAAAACACGGGGTCGAACCGATGACTCATCTATATGTATGCATAGACTTGGAAAGCAGTGTAATCAATGGCAATGGCAAGTGTATACAACAGAAGCAAACTGTAGAGCACATCTGCTAGTTTTGATTTACACTCTGCTATACACTTGCCCTATATGTAGTAAATATGTATCGAATAATAATGTAAATTATTTTCCAAATGGTGATGAATTAACAATTGAAGAATATTTTAAAACGCTTGATGATTCAATTTCAACAACTCTTAATCATATTCTTCCTTTAAAACACTTAACTAAATTAGTTATTAAAAATTCTCAGTTTACTTTTGAACAAATTATTAATTCAATACTTTTTACATCAAATTTATATGTATTAAAATTAGATTTATTATGTTTTAATGGAATTAACTTAAAATTAATTCAACCAAATGAAAGATTTCAATATGTATCAAATACAAATTAAATTAAAACTATAGAAATTCGTGAAGCTTGTACTTTAGAAAATTTTCAAATGATTGTTAATGTATTTCAACTATAGGTGAATATTTTGAAATTGGAATGAAAGTAAAAGAATTGAATCAAATTATACGATTGCTACCTTCAAAAATTAATAATAAAACATGTCGTTTATATTTTTGTGTATTTCACAAATACCTAAAGTATGTTTAAAAGAATCAAATGGTTTAATTAAATCAGAAAACTTATTTTATAATTATTCTATTAAATATATTAATCGTGATTTATATCTATGGTGGTAGAGATTTAATTGTTTAGGGTTTTTTGTTGATTTTATTGTATACTGTTAATAGTTACTTTTAAATAAACGAAAGCATTCATTGATTTTTATTTTCACTTGATTCATACAATAGTTGAATCTCTGTTGAATGTAAATGAAAGGAAATTGAAAAATTTCAAATAAAATATTCTCTACTCATGAACAATAGAGATCCTTTAGAATTTCTATGTGATATCAATTGATGAAGAAGTTCACGGATAAATAAAATGTGTTTTAAAATTTTCATGAAGAACTCTACGAGCTGCACATGTTCAGGCGCACTATTGCCCGTGTAGCCACTATTAGATAGACGGAAGACAATCAAAAACAAAATGAATATATACAATATAAATCTCAACTCATGACAAGCAGAAATAGTATTATTATGAAATAAATGTCTTGTGACGTTATAAATTGATTCAGAACAACATAGACTCTCATTTGGCAGAATGTGTGAAAAAGCAGACACTCTTCGGTATTAATTTTTACCGATTCACAACTGTTTTTTTTCACATTATTTCTATAGTACGGGATATGTGTTGCTTCTGTCCAGGGTGTGGGTGTGGGTATGATTGGACAGAAGATCAGTAGCTTCATCCATACCCACACCCACACCCATTCTGAAACATTTGTGGAGACGAAACAAGAATAGCACCCATGAAAAAAAGTTCAAAAAAAGAACGGATGAGAGCGCGTTGTCGAGATAAAAGACGGCGCTGTGAAGACGCTTTTTTCGACCTTTTCAGACGCGTTTATGTCACGAAAAACGCGTTCTCTTAAAGAAAAAGAACGCATTCTGATATGATAAAACCGTTGTGTAAGAAGAACAGTTCTTGAGTGGAAAATCAAGTGTGGGTGTGTGGTTGTGGTTTGGATTAAGACACCCACACCCCAACAAGATTGCTTACCGCCATTGATGACAATATGAGATTTACCGACGTTGAAGTGGAATCGGAAGATGGCAATCAATCACTTTCTATTGGACCAAACATCAACAACAGTGGTGCCGACGAAGATTCTGACTGATGATCTCATTTCTATTTCATTTTGACACTGTTGATTATATCTCACTTCATTTCATAAGAATACAAGTTTTCACATACATGGCCAACTCGCTATACACGATTTTCGACATAATGCACTAGGTGAGTTCCCGTGACACATCGTTTCTGGGTAAAGCAGCAGCACTGGTGTGTAAAATTTTTCAAGCGCTATCTTTTGAAAGCTTGGGGAATCTGACAGAATGCGTTAAACCTACGAGTTTTGATGTTGGAGTCATGTGGTATATTGTGGATTTGCATGATTTTTGGTGTTAGAAAAGTGGTGTAGAAATGTTTTTGTAGGTGACATATTTATAGTATAGGAATGCTTAGGTAAATTTTGTGTTTTCATTTAGTGAATGATTCAATGGGTTAGAGTGAGAATAGTTGAGTGAGCCAATACAAGCTGTAATGCGCTCGCGTCCTTTTAGGGTATCATCAGATATTTTCGTGGTGAGTCATTTCGATAAGTTTCGCTTTAGTGTGCCACTATAGCTGCTAAAATAAACAATTGGTTACCTCAAGCGATCGGTATTTCCTCAAAATTAATATAATAAAAAGCTGAGACCCTGAGATGAAGACACCCGAGCCCTTCATCATGACATGAATTGATGTGTTATGCGATTATAAGCTAATATTAAAATCTCTAATATGCCGATTTATCTTGTTTTATCATAGTTTACGAACTAATCTACCTTGGGATTTTATGAATTCCAATATTTTTGTTAGTTTTTATACTATCAGATAGGATACTGGCATCAAAATATTGCAGATGATATTGCTATGTATATTTCTGATGAAATAGTTTCTGGAAGTCGACGCTACAATGTATTTTTCGATTTTAACTCAAAAATATTGTGTATCAAAAGTAGAGACTAATGTGGAATTGTATTGGACACAATCAATACGCTTCGGATTCATGTTTCACCACAAGGTCACGCAGTAATAACATTCACGGATAATCACTTCACAATCAGCGAAGCTTTCACCAATAATCAAACCATTTAGAATAATATCATATACACAAAGAAATACAAAACTACTGAATTGATTTGGGAAAAGTAGTGGAATATCAAAAGTATGTATAACTATCGAAAATTAGGATAAGGCATGTCGCCGGTATTTGGTTAATAGTATCATCGTTATAATATAAAACTACACATATCTAGCGAAAAGAGAGACTTTGAACATCGTTATGCTACGAAAGTGAATCTAATCTAGTTGTTAGTAAATCTCCAAGTAATCAGTTGGAAATAGTAGCTTTGAGTATTTTCACTTATTAGTTTGGTAGACAAAATAATCCATCTGAAATTACTGAATGGTTTTACTGCATACACACATGCGTTCTCTTCCATGTAGCTGGTTTATTTGCAAAACTGTAGCGTTCATAGCATATTTTTATGATTCACTGCATGTGAAATCATCCATAATTTATTTTAACTCTGGTATACAACAACACAAATAGAGTTACAAAAAGCGTTTCATTTAATTTGGACCATCGTACTCATTCCAAAATGGTGGGGTCTGACTGTCGCTGTGAAACGTGTAATATCTCGTCGTCGCCGAAGAATTTTCTGTCGAAAATTTCTGAACACGCTAGTTATCGTTGCAAGACAGATGAAGGGCAAGATAAAAATAATAAAATAGGAAAAAAAAACCAAATACTGTAAAGCCTCAAGCCCAATATCGCTTGGTAAACCGCATAAATGAGCGATGTTAAGAATACTGAGTGGACAATTGACAGATAAATTAAGAGCAGTGAGGGACATAAGCTGAATTGTGATCTTTCGCTGCTTGCGCCATTGCATCGGCAAACGAGAACGATATTTCTGCCAGACCACTCGAAACAAGAAAGAAAAGCTGAAAAATGCTTCCAACAATGTTGGCATAGTAATATTAGTGAATAAATCGAACATGGCCATAATCGGATCTTGTAAATAACACGGAGATTGATTACAGTAGGGTAATGTATAATCGTAAGTATTTTCGCATGGAAAACCATAAAATGCATAAATATAGAAAATGAAAATATACAGAATTAAGAAAAGCAGTGGTAAATAATGCACTATGATACGTCGCTTTCTTGTTGAAATCCATCGATCATGAAATATGATTATGTGTCGCTCGAAAGCAGTCCAGGCCAAAAGTATGCCTTCTCCATTGTACATGCCAATGTCCGTAAACCACCACAGGATACAAATTGATGGATTCGCTGGAACAACACTCGAATGTACAATAAAATTGAGATAGAAAGGAACATCAACTAATTGATTGCCCAAGCCAAGAATAAGCAATAGAACAAGAGCATGATTTTTTACGCTAGAACGTAATTTTCGATCCATAAGGATACAGCAGAGAACGAACAATGTACAAATGACGGATGGAATATCAAATAGGAGAAGAATCCAAAAGCGAGCCGTGCGTGATATAGATATCTCTGTGTTGGCAAATGAAACACTGCCCGTGCTGTTCGAACTTTGCCTGTCAGACATTGCTAAATATTAAAAAAAGATGACAAAGATCATGTCATGTAACAGAATATATTACGAAGAAATCATTCTATATCAAATAACACACGAAGGCTGACTATCATTTACCGTATCTATGCAGCTCCTAGTGGCGTAACCAGAGGGAGACCAGGGGGGGGGGGCAGAACCCCCCCCCCCAACAAAAAAAAAAAGAAAAAATAAAATCCTGTGAAAAAATAAGTTTAGCCACCCCTACCATGGCTTTGACCAACGACTTATCCCTTCCTACAATTATTTTCTGGTTACGCCNAGAAAAAATAAAACCCTGTGAAAAAATAAGTTTAGCCACCCCTACCATGGCTTTGACCAACGACTTATCGCCCCCTACAATTTTTTCTGGTTACGCCCCTAGCAGCTCCTCCAAGATAAACTCGATGGTCTTCAAGTTTAACTCGAATACGAAATGCGATGCGAAGCTCGAATCAGATCTACACGAAAAATCTACAATTCAGAGAAATTTTGAATACTTTTTATGTCGACAGGATGAAATTCATCACTGCGAAAACTCCATTCTTACATAGCGATACATTCTTAAAGATCGATTTCGATTGATCGATTAATTATCTCCATGATTCATTATCTTAGATCAGCTGTAAATGAATAGGCTATAGTGGCTAACATGTATGCATGACGTCACTTTAATTATCTCACAACATATGTCTATCATTTTAGTCATTTTGGAATGATACTTGTAGGCGATCGAAATGTCCGATTTAAAATCAGAAAAAAGATACATCAAACTCGATCTTGGTACTCTCATTTCCAGTTTCAATCAGTTATCTATCGTTTATGGCTCTCGAGATCATCGTGACAAAAAAGACGACTTGTGATGCGAACGTCAACTGCGTAAAAGAAACTCGCGACGGATTACATATATGCTTCTCCTTCGGACGCATCAAAAAATATTAGAAATTAAAAGAAACCTCGCGGCGCACTACATAAATGCTTATGGTTCGCATCGGATTTAAAATTAAAAAAAAAACAACTCCCGATGGACGACATAAATTCTATATGTCGCATCGCATTAAAAAAATCGCGACGGACCATATAAATGCTTCGCGTTCGCATCGGATTAAAAAATTAAAAATTAAAACAAAACTCCCGACGCACCACATAAATT